GGAAGGAGTAGTCTGCTGCTGTTGTTGCTGCTGACGGGGCTATTGCTGCTGCTGCTGTTGTGGGGGAGCAGGGGGTAATCCACGGCCCCTCCCGCTTTGCTGCTGAGCGGGAGGCGCCCTGGGTCCTCGGCTAAGGCCATCGTGCCGATGCTTCACCCTCCTCTCCTCCTCCACCTGAGGGTCCCGGTCTCGCACCTGACCCCGACCAGGAACCCTTGATGATGGGGTGGAACTGGTCCCCGCTGAGGAGGTGCCGCCGGTCGTTCCTCGACTTCTCCCGGCTGTAAGGGCCTGCCTCTGCCTCAGCCTCAAGAACCCGAGGTCGATACGATGAGTGTTTGACATCGCGACTTCAAGCGCGTCCTCGGTGTCCAGAGATTGAAGAACTTGAAAGTTAGGCCACAAGTCTCCTCCCGAAGTCCCCACCTCGGCGTCTGAAGGAACCGCGTCCTCTCTGACCCCGAGCTCTTCAGCAACTCCCTCGACCTCTGCCTCTGAAGCCCGATCCGGGTCTTCCTCCAAATTTTCCTCAACTTCTAGCCTCGCCGCCTGATCGAAGAGTTCTGACCACTGCGAAGGCTCGAAAGGTTGCGGAAGCTGCAAGAATTTCTTATACCCGGGAGTATAGTTCAGCAGGATATGGGCAGCACGGCCAAACCCGTTGTCACCCCGTGAACCTCCAAACCGTGATTAGGTCGGCAAAGTTCACCAGCGACCGAGGAGGAGGAGCTGTTTCCCGAGCAGGAATATCTGCACAAACAAAAAAGTTGTCATGAATATGGGAAGTCCCGAGAAACAAATAAGAAATCCAAAGGAACCGACGTACTTGTCGTTCTCCATTCCAGAGGGCATAATAAGTCATTGTACTCGGGCCCAACACCCTCTGCCAAGATCCCTTGAAGATTAAGATGTCGTCCTTGTACCCCTTGTCCGAGTCAGAAAGATGGGTTACAAGGTACATGGAGGGGTCCCTGGCTTTGAGGTAGAAGTGTTGGTGAGGCATGACTCTAAGAAGGGAATAACAGAAAAGCAGATCATTGAGCCCAATATTTACCCCGAGGCGCCTATTGAGCTCTATGACCCCCATGATTATTCGGAAGACATTAAGGCAGTATTGCCCGGGGAAGAGGCGAAAGCGAGAAAGGAACTGAAGAAGCAGGGGGGTAAAGAAAACTTAATTCCACCCTCTATGATAGCCTTCGTATAGAAAGGCATGGCATCCTCGGCCCCGAGGGTAGATGAGTGCACCGATGGGTCAAAATCCACTACGTCTACGCACGGAGGAATGCCGTACTTGGCCCTAAACCTATCGATCTGCTCCTCGCCTTTCACCTTGTATTTCCCTGACCCTGAGGGACCAGCCGGAGGATTCTCGGGAGCAGGGCGACGACGAGGCATCTCTAAAAAGTAAAGAAAAGGGATATTTGTTCTTGAAAACCCCTGAGGAAGTTTCCCGAGGGTTTAAATCACGACGTGTCGACCGGATGACACCTCCAGTCAATCGAAAAACAAAAAGGCTAGGAGGACGAGAAGAAAGAGGGTTCTGGAACTCACCCGAAACGTCAAAATGGAGTTTTTTTTTTCTGGAAAAGCCTTAAAACAACTCCCTCCAGAAAGTTTAGGAATCAACAATGGGTCTGTTGGCTCTGAGATTTTGAGAGAAAGGGTAGTCGACGATGGCAGAAGAAACAAGAACTCCGGCGAAAGATTCAAGAAGACGAACTCTGGGGTAAGTTTGAAATGACAAAACGAAGGAAACCGGAGAGGAACCCTCTTTATATAGGGGCAGTTTTCATCATTGGGCGCGAAGACCGAAACGGCGCATTTAATGCGCACGACATCCTAAGCCAGGGAAAGCGGCTCGAGGCCATGATGAAGGACGGGTGGTAGTTGGGAAACCCTTTGTCTCCTTACAACGCGTGTCCTCGGTGTCAGAAGATCGAAAGCTGGGGGGCAGTTGATGGGACTCTTCTGAAATGCCCTATGATGAAGACACGTGTCCTCGGTTATGATAAAACACTGTTGCTTGAATCAAGCACCATCGGCGAACGAATGTCCTCGCCCCCGAGGTACCCTCATATAGGATCATGCATTCAGTATATTATACACCCAACACGTGTCCTCGGTCACCTATGTACCTCGGGTCGCATACCTCTCTCGGTCCCCGAGATGAGCCTTTCCTCGGTGCCGAGAGTTACTCCGTCCTAGACGCTTTCTTCTACTCCAAGATAAGCTATTGACGTATATGTCACTAGCCTAGGCTAGTCTAGGCTGCTCATTATGACCTCGTCTTACACAAGTAATGTCAGAACATACTGGAATGCAGAGGTCACAGTCAATAGGGGATGGACGCGTGACAAATGATGTCACATCAGAGACAGACAAACTGCACGCCGTTACTGACACACTGCTTGGGAAAGCAAACAATTAATTGCACCCTTCTGTTGATGAGACCGCATTTAATGCGGTAAGGCTCGAAAATGAAAGGCAATAAATGCTCCTATTACAGAGCATTTATTGCATCCTCCCCGAGAGGAGCATATTGTACCGTCGGCATCCCGACGACTGAGCATTGATTGCTCGGGACCCCGAGCAGTCAATTAGAGAAGACATTCCTCATCAGAATCAATGCACACGCTACCTGTGCCTAATGATCACCTGCTGACCACACTGACATCAATCATGAGCCTTTAAGGTATAAATACTCCTTGCAAAAGGCTAAGCGGGTATGCAACAACAAGCTCTTTACTACAATCCATTTTTCTCAGTGTTTTCTCCTTCCCTTCTCTCACTCAAAGACTGACTAGACCGTCGGAGGGGATACGCCGGAAAACACTCCGGCGCCCTTCTAACTTGTTTTTCTTTGTTCCAGGAACCCCTTCCACTCACACAGGATCGTTCTTCCTTTCCCAGGGTCTCCCATTGTCGTTCCAGGTTACCACCGTACCTTGCAGGCTGTCCCAAGCAGCGTGTTTGGTCACTCAACCGGCTCACTCGAGTTCACCAGGGGAGAGATCTGTTCCCGTTTTTTATATTGTGCAGAATCTTGCACGCACAACTTCCTTGTTGCATGATGATTCGCTGGTCCTACTTATTCTGTTTTGGTTTTTTTTGTAATTGCCCATGGCCTTGTTTGAGTTATGAAGTTGATAGAAGTTTACGGGTTTTGCAGAAAACGAGCTGATTCAAGTTATGAAGTTGGGATTAATCTGTACCTCTGAAACGCCTTCGAGGAGACCAAACATGGCTAAGGTTGTTCAGATTCTTGAGTCCATCAGGAATGGATTGCAACCGTAGCAAGGGAATTAGAGAGTTGTTTTTGGACTGCCTCAGACTTGAATTAGCAGTATTAGTCTACCTGCATGAGTATTTGGTTACAAAGTGGAGAGAATAGGAGATATCAGGCATCGTAGAGCAAAAAAAAAAAAAATAGAAGAAGCTTTGTTTGTATTCATTTTGGGTTTTTACCATTGTCATTGCTCCTTGTAATTTCTGCAACAAGTTCATTGATTTTTTGTATCCAATTTGCAAATAGAAACCCACCATTCAGGAACTTTCAGTTAACATTCACAAACCTCTGTTCCCTCCGACTTTTGACTCATATAAGGCAAACAAGACCTCTCCCCCAAATAACAAAACTCAACGGGGGCACATGTGAACTCGCACATGAATTGATCCAATCAAATAAGGATTCGTTTCATATTAACATGGGTTAGGAGTTTAAACTTGGTGTCACTTTAAGGAAAATCAATTGGACATTGTATGGCAAAATGGGAAACATGGAGTCAAGCGAAGAGGAGTTTGGACTACATAACAGCCGGTTATTGTTGGCATTATGTGATGGTTTCAGTCAACGGATTCATCCAACAGAAATACCCATCAAGAAAATCTACCAACTGTTTTTCTAAAAGCATTGCCTATGAAGCCTTCAACCGTTGATCAAGCTTCCATTCTTACCTAATTTGAATAACGAAAGTTCATTCATTCCACCATCACCCTGATCAACTTAAACTCTATACAAACAAGAAGCAACAAGGATTAACTTTATCATACAGTTTGATGTTTAAAAATGTCAGATATAATACAAAAAAGAAATGCAATTACATTGTTGTAATTCATTTACATATTGAACAGCTAAATACAGGGAAAAAGTATTGTACAAAATCTTGTGGGGGAGCCCCTAAGATATTTTCGTGGCTTGGCGGCAACCAACTTCCCCCACCCTGTAACCACCTCAATGATCAATCTGCATGAGGTCACAGTGTTGCATCTTCATATACATTAATTCTGCTCACAAACTTCTCACTTCCATGATTGGATCCTGCTAGTATTTCGTTGAAGGAGTGGACACCTTCGATGCCAAATCCAATTCTTCATCAGAGTCGATCACATCCTCATAGTCATAGTACGAATTCACCTGCCACGAAAAACCACATCAAGCTCAACATATATAAGTACGCGAGGCTTTCCCCAAACCCATGCCCCCTCAAAACTTAATTCCCAAAATCAGTCATTTTTAAACTTAATTCCCAAATCCAGTCTTTTTTTAAAAACGTCATTTGAATTGACGTTGTCCATCTAGTCTAAATTTACTATACAAAAAGTTGGGATTACATGCTTAAAGTTTTATACCTTCACCAAAGCATTTAATCGATCTCGTCTGATAGCCATATATTCCAAAATTGTATTATATGATATGTCTACTCTAGTTTGTTTGTTGAGAGTATAAATAGTATACTATAGTTTCTATTTCATATAGTTGTGATAAGTTACCTCACTAAGGGTATATTCATCCTTTAGGTTTTCATGGATAACTGAAAATATAAGTTGAGAGTGAGAGGCAGTGTATGGAACAACTTCTCTGCTTCCTCTCATTGTGTTCTTGTCAATTCTCTATCTTCTAATTTCACAATATGCCACCTTTTCTTATTCTTTTGGGTGTTCTTACTTGCTGATTTTTTGGAACTTAATATTTAATGCAGGCTACAAGACATGCAGAGATGGAAGCTATTGATAATCTACTTGAGCAGTTGCAGAAAAATGGACTTTCTAGGCCAGAAGTTGCTGAAAATTTTTCAAAATGCTATCTATATGTTACGTGTGAACCATGCATAATGTGTGCAGCGGCGTTATCAACTATTGGTATGTTAGTTTGACCATTTTACATAATAAGAGTTGATTATTATTGTTGTTGTGGTTATTCCTAATTGTACCTAATCAATGCATTGGTTTTGTGTTCCCCTGCTTTTAGGTATAAAGGAAGTGTATTATGGCTGTGCAAATGATAAATTTGGGGGTTGTGGATCAGTACTATCATTGCACTCTAGTAGTTCTGAGCTGTCTGTTAGGTTTGATTTTAACTTCTTTCCAAATTTTCACTCTTGATCTCCCTTTTTCGTTCTTTGCAAGCCATTGTTTGTGGATTAACATTCATGAAAAGTCTTTCGTCAAACTTGCGTATTTTGTCATTAGAAAACATTTGGGATGGCTTTGTTTGTCCCAGCACCAAACAGGCTTGTGGGGAACAAGATTTCTTTCTTTTGCTTTCATAATATTTCAGGGGATAACCATCATTGTTTCATTGAAAATTATCATTATCAGGAAACTCATATATATATAATTATCAGGAATTTGTATGAACAATAAACAAAATTCATCTGAAACCCATCTGAACAATAAACAAAAAATGACATTAAAGTAACAAATTCATCTGAAACCCATCTGAACAGTAAACAAAAAAAGAATCATTAGGTCAGATAACAAACCGTAGCAAACTTATCTACATAATCAACATGAAATTACAAAAATATTACACAAAATTTCCAAAAAATCCAGTGGCAATTCAAAAAAAAAAATAGACAGGTAAATAATCAATTCGTTCAAGAACAAAACCCACCAAAACCATATAACCAACAAATCCTTAAATCAAAACACAAATCGTAGTTTTAACCTTTCTGAAGATGAGAACGTAGCAGATAAAGAGAGTGGTCTGGTCTGAAACCCCAGCTGCAGCTAATAGAGTTGAACAGGGGCTGGTTTTGTCGGCCAGGGGCTAAGTCGTTTGGTCTCGTCGAAGAAGACGGTGGTTGCAGGCGGAGGAGGAGGAGAGATCAATCCATCTGAGACAGTGGGCTGACTGGTTGGAGGAGGAGGAGGAGGAGGAGGTGGAGGGAGGACCGATCTGTGAGAGAGGAGAGACCGACTGGACTGAGAGAGGGTAAAATTTTTTTAAAACATTTACCTAGGTTTTCTTAAATGATGTTTTCAACCCTTAAATCTTTAAAAACGTTTTCAAAAAAGTCATTTTAAATTAAAAACGTTATTCAATGATTTTTTCATCCCTTTGTAAAATTTTAAAGTCTGATACTCTCATTTTAAAAAATTATGTATAAAAACGTTATTTTGAATGACGATATTAAAAATTAATGTTTTCAGAGACGGATCGGTCATCGAATTGGCAAGGGGACCGAGTTAATGGTTCACTGGTTCAACCGTTGGGTCAACTGGTCGGATCGGTCATATAATAAAAAAATAAAAATATATATATAATAATTATAAAACTTAATAATTTAGCTAAAAAATATAAAATATGTATAAAATACATAAAATTTGCCATAAAATTAATGAAATTAAGTAACAAAGTAAAGAGGTTCAAGTAAATAATAAAGAAAAATAATGGGTGTCATTTATAATTTTTTCAAGAATAAGGTTAAAAAAAATCAACTATTTATTGATTTAGGGCAAAAAAATTTATTTATGTAATTTAATTTTTAAAAACCTGCCGATTTTTTGATTTTTAGCCGGTTCGCTTTCTTAAACGGTTCAACTAAGGAACCGGACCGGTTAGGGTCTCGATTCACGGTTGAACCGGTCCGATCGGCCGATCCAATCCGATTCTGATAACAGTATCTAAATGTCAATCTAAATGTTATTTTTATGCGACAAAGCGTCATTTTAAATAATGTTTTAAAAAAAAAAGACTGAATTTATTAATTAAGTTTAAAAATAATTGTATTTGAGAATTATGTTCTGGGGAATGGGTATGTTCTGAGGGGGAATGGGTTTGGGGAAACCTCTTACGCAAATCCCAATCGGTAAGTATCCCGCAGTGTCTCACTCTCTATGTTACACTCTTTCTCTCTCCTTCCCCAATCTTTGCCTAAAATCTTGCCCCTCTCTCTCACACAATCTCCCCAGAGAAGACCACAAAATTTTTCCAAAATCTGTCTTTTCTATCTCCCCCATCAACGCAACATGCCAGACGCCAACTCCTTCATCCTCATTCTCTTCCTCACAGAGCCACCAAAGTTCTAAGGCATCCAGAGGTAATTCCCTCCCTCTCTGTCTCATTCTCCACCAAAGCTCAATACATATTCTGAGCACCCTCTTTTTTGGTCGCTCTAGGATACCGAATTGGAGGGCATAGAGGAATTGTTGGTGAGGAACGGTGGGGCACCACGCGAGTTTCGATTGCCCTTGACGGCGCTAAGCATTGGTCTCTCTCTCTCTCTCTGTGATCTACCTAGCGATGGTTGCATCAACGAAGTTTTTGATTGGGTTTAGACAATTTCCAGCTTGTATTGCATGTGAATTTTATGGGGTTTTGGCACAGAATTCTTAAATTTTGTTTGCTTCTTTAACAGGCATTTCGACATTGAGGACTTATAGTTGGACTGGTTCATTGTTTTGGCTGCTCCTATGGTATGTTGTAGATGATGATTCCTTGAAGTTATTTAAGTGTGAGTCTGTTTATTGGTTAAGAGCCTGTTACATAGCTTTTTATTGTTGGGAACTGATATCCACACACACATTGCTTTTCTTTCTGCAAAAAAGTTATGATTTGTGGCTGTCCATGGCTTCACTCCTAGATTCTTGCATAATGGACTCAAAATTCTCACATGGGTCTGTTTCAGAAAATGATTTTATGCTAGGCGCATTATAGGTGTGCACTTCCATTGACCATTATGGTATGTGTAGGCAATTTGGGTTGTATATTTCACTTTGCATCCGCTGTTGTTTTTCTTGGCGTGTTCATGGTTAAAACTCTGTCATTAGTGTGTACATGCACGGGTTTCAATTCACCAACATTGTTTCTAAACCTTTTCTTTTGATATAAAGTTTTATTTTGTAGAAGCATAAAATGGATTCTATAATGTCTTGAAAAATGATTGGAAAATGCATTGTTTGTTTCATAAAATCGACTTTATCAAGAATCATGGCTAACTTATGGCATTGCTGGAAGTCATGCGGTCGAACTCTTGTGTTTTCCAGTAATATGTTTAACATTATTGTTATGATTTTGGTATATTAGAATAGGGTGGAACTCTTAAATGGATTCACAAATACTAGAAATAGATGACAAGTGTTTGTTTACAAAAGGGTTTTGCGTAATTGAATTGTGATTTTTGCAAATGACCTTGGCCTTGAGAAATGGGGTAACGATGCTGTATGGGTTGAAGGAGTTTCCCAAGCCTTCTTGACGGAGCAAATGTGTTGGATAAATGGAGGCATTTGTGGAAGCAAAAGGGGAATGCTCAAGCGAGGCTGGCTAAATTGAAACGACAAAAGTCAAGGGTGCTATGAGCACCACCACATTCGACAATTATTCATTTGAATGATTGATGTATCTCTTTAGTCATTTTTTAGGCTTTTCTAATTTGAATTTTTTTCCCACGATAGTTTTTGGTGATTTCCACATCATTGATTATGCTTTGTTCAATCCTACTTTTGATTTAATTGTCATGTATTCAATTAGATTATTTTGGATCCAAACATGATAGACACTACATTAAAGTGACTGAAGTTGCAATTTGATTTAACGAATGAATTTGTTGAGTTTATATGATACTTTATTATTGTCAATGCTATAATTTATTCGCTAATTCAACGCATTAGACATGTGGCGTGATGGTATTAGTGAGTCTTTGTGTAGCATGATGAATGCTTCCTTTTGGCAATGCTCACTTTTTTTTAATTACTTTTTTTTGTTATGAAGTGCCTTCTAACGTGGGATTAGTTAGTGTATATATATATGTGAGCAAATATGTCAAAAAAAATTATAAAAAATAAATTATGTACTTGGACACAATTATAAATTCTAAAAATAAGAATTAAAAGACATAACATTAAGAACTATATACATTATGTTAGTAAATCACGTATCAATAACATTGCTCTTTAACAATTAAGTCTAATTTTGTGTAACTTCTCGCGATTTCCCCTAGGTTTAGGATATTGGGCATTTGGGTTGAACTAAATTCCTTCACACTGCCTGAGCCCATTGGGATCATTGACCTGCTGCCATTGCATTCGGCATACTGGTTGTGTGTGTGTGAGGGAGAGAGAGGGAGAGAGAGATTGCTGAAGAAGAAAGGTGAGTTCATCTCTCCATTGGGGTATAAAAAGATCTTTGATTGGGTGTGAAACAGCTTCATCGGTTGTAACTTCATATATGGGGACTGAGAAAGAGAAGAGAATGCAATCTACTTCTTCGACCTCACCTTGTGCCCATTTCAGAGCTGCTTACCATAATTGCTTCAACAGGTAAACTTTTTTGCTTACTTTTTATGGGTTCATTACACAAACCATGTAGAATCAAAGGGTCTTTCTGATTTTCAAAACCCCCCACTCCCTATACATATATACATGTGTGTGTAACTTTATGCTATTAACAGGTGGTATTCTGAGAAATTTGTGAAGGGTCATTGGGACAAAGAGGAGTGCGTTTCTGAGTGGCAGAAATATAGAGAATGTCTCTCAGTAAGCTGTCTTTTTTTTTTTTTTTTTAATTTAAAAAAAAAGGTTTTTAAGCAATCCAGTTTGAAAAATTATAAGAAAGTTAATTAATTGATGATTTTGTTTTATTTTTTGTTCTTATCATTTGCATCAGCAACATATGGATGATAAGTATCTGAGTCGACTCTTGGAAGCCGAAGGCATGGTTGATTTTACCACTCAAGCTCAGTTTAGGCGCCCAGCTGGTGTTTCTAAATAAGTTTCGTTTTTCATCCGCAATATACATGAAAGGTTAGTACATTTAAAAAATGATTAAATTGATGACAACTTTTTTTTTTACATTGCTTATTCCATGGTGCATTTGGTTGTGGAAAATTTTTTGTGAATCTTTTACAATATCAATTCGGATTGGCTTTGGTTCGTTTAGAAAATGTAGTTCGAGGAACTATATGTGGAACAATTGGGCATAAATTTATACCGACTCCTTGGAATTTGGTAGCTTCAACTCCATTAACATCTACGTATGAATCTTTTTTTGGTTTTGAAATCCATAGCTTAAGGTTACAAATTATAGCTTTTGTGTAGCTAATAAGGTGTAAGAGTGGTGATGGGGTACTAAAAAGCATAAAGAAGACGTTTAGTTGGGAAGG